AAATGAGAAAACTCGCCGGAAAACCCTCGGCACTTTGTGGCTTTGACCTTTAAAAATGGAAAAGAAAAATGGAAATCTAACACTACTTAGAAATAGGACTCATCAAGAGCTTTCCATGGACACCAAGATCACCCAAAACGGAAGTCAGATGAAGGAGATAAGGCCGGGTCAAAAATGGGGGTTCGCTGGTCAAAAATGACCCATTTCGGGTCTCCTCTCCCCTCCTTTTTCCTTTCTGATTGGTTGCCCCTTCCTTTCTTGTTTTTGATTGGTCCTCCCTCCAACCTTTACTTCTAATTGGCCACAAAAACACACCTCACTGGGCTTTTTCCCTCAAAGTGGGAGTTTAAATAATTTCTAAAATCTATAGTTTAGTAACACAACTTCAAACGTCCGTAGCTATACCGTTATAATCTGGACTTGCAAAAGGCTTTCGCCTATGCGTTTGTAGTTTCGAGATCTATTCAAAAATATAAATTGTGACCTTGAAAGGTCTACGGATTTTAAATAATTAATTTCCAAACTTCAAACTTTGTAACTAGTTTAATTAAAATCTAAATTCAAACAAATTAAAATAAATTCTAGAGAAATAATATAAAATCTCAATAATATAAGTATGTAGATTATAACAGTGAAATCCGATTCCTGGATTTCACATTCACTCTCTAGATTTTGTTACTTTTTGCTAATTTTAAAGTGACACGGAGGATATTTTTGGTCCAACATAGTTGATAGACTCAGTCTTCAAATTTGAAACCTTCATTTCACTTTCTAAATCTAGAGACTCTTCAATTCACTCTTTTACTAAAATATCTCTCTCTCCTCCATCGAATGAATGAAAATATTGAAATTTTGTTTTTTAAGTGAAGATAAAATATTGAAAACGGTAGAATCTGTTGAAATGTAAAAATGTGAATTTCATTGCATCGAAACTTCATGAATTAGAATTTTCAGATTTTAGTTTTTCTTTCTTCCAATTTTCAGGTTTCATTAAAAAAAGAAGATCCAACCCAAAATTGAATCGAGCTGAAAAAATGAATCGAGAACAAACCGAACAAGAACACCGTGAAGAGAATCGAATCAAACTGAACATTGATTTCGGTTAGATTTTTCAGCTTTGACAAAATACGGAACCAAATAAAACTGAATCCACCCCTAGTCAACTATGTAACATTTTGCTCGGGTTCCAGAAACCCAAGTTTCCACCCTTCTGGCTAGAAATTATCTGCTAGAAATTATCTTTATGAATTTTTCTTCCATATGTGTTTGCACTAAATGCAAAGTGGAATATTAGTACTTAAAGTAGTAGCGTCGGTGCTTAAAGGTGTGGTGTAGTGTCGTGTTAGGGAGCGATGCACAACTCTAATGATGTAAACAAGTGCACTGCACTTTTTGTGTGGAAACGTGTTGGAGAAAAACCAGTGATCTTTAGGTAAAAGAACTTTGCAAACCCTAATTAGGTGTAGGGTCATCAATCAAATAATGAGAAGATGAGCTAGCAAAAGATCGACCGTTAAAAAGGGAAAAAGAAAGAAAAAGTCAAAGGCACAAAGAATTCAGCTTTTGAATCATGTCATGAACATGAAGGAAGCCTCAGTACTAAGAAAGAGGGTCTTCCTTTTGTGGTATATATAGGAAATATCTACATGAAACATGAGTGCATGTCTGGCATTAGTGGGAGTCTCTGAGGAATGAGGAGGAGTACTCATAGAAACGGACAATTCTGTTTCTCTTTTACTTTCTGCTGAAAAATGCAAATTAGGGTTTGTGCAAATCAGAAACTAAGGTACTCGACCACAGTGAGTGAGAGTGCAGTGCAGCTTTATATAGCCATTGATTCGTGCAGGCGACGAGGGCCGGTCACCCAAAAATATTATGAGAGAGAGAGATCTAGAGAGAGAGAGGATGGAAATCCAGCTCATTGTTGGGAAAGAATGATAGGATCCCACGTGGAGAGGACTGGCATATATATATATATATATATATTGCCAGTTCACGGACTTGTAGAGTTCTATTCATGAAAACTTGAGGTTCTGCTCATAGCTGTCTCCTCGTCCCTAACGCTGGCAACAAACTAGATTATGACTCCTTCTGCCTCTCTCTCTCTCGCTTATTGTGCGTGCGTGTGTTGCTCTGTGCTCTTTGATCCTCTCCATCAAAAAGTCTTTTGCAGACATAATGCTGTCTTTTACGTGATATACATGTATAGTTATTCACTTAATAGAGTTCATTTTGTACGAGAGATATTAGAGAAGGGAAAACTTAAACTCGGGACCTTGAGAATAAATATTTTTAACCAACTCGAGTATAAATCCCTTACATTTACTTATAATGTTATCATGATCACTTACTCTTGGTGTGTTGGTACTTCTTTGTCGAAATTGGACATAGTTTTGACATATATTTATAATTACTGTTTATATTGTAAAACTGTAAATTTGGATCATATTCATCAAGAATCAACCCAATTCATAATCTGCAATGAGTACATGGCTGCTATATTTGCTAGTCCAAACTCATACTCGGACAATAAAAACATCTTATGTTGCCAAACAATCTGACAAAAGAACAATTTGTCCATTGTTAGATTGCTTCGCAACATAAAATATTTGTATTTAAAATTATGAATTTGGGCTACTAATTAGGTTAATTCTTAAATCGATATTTTGTTCAATTTCATTGTATGGCAAGAGAACATTATCCTATCTACCATACAATCGTTGTCCTAAGCTTTTGTAAAATCTTATTTAAAGTTTAAAAAATGAAAATTGATGCAATCTTTACAAGTTTAACTTGGAACCTCTCTGCTCACTAATACATAAGTTGCTTTTTGTTTGTCACAAGTTACTTTTTCAATTATGGTTCTAAACGATTGATTACATATTTTTTCCCAAGAACGGTTATATTGACTTCAATCTGAATGTATGGTTTAGAATCATAGTGTGACAATGTAAACTTAATTCATAAGATAACATATCTGCATACCTCATAGTGAACTAATTAATCGAAGCTTTACGACGTGGAAATCAGGATCATGTAATCCCGAGTTGTAATGTCCAAGAATCCTTCAAAAGAGACTTTATGGCTCGCATGATCATTAGCTTGTGGTCAAGATAATGGTCTTCCATTTGCATATACTAATTTAATTAAGAGCTTGAACCTTTTATTTAATTAATGATTATTGACCAGGGATTGGGAATTATTCGATGCAGATGGTCATATATAATTATAAACACCTAGATTTTGATTTTCCTTGGCTGCCGCCCATCGCAATGCACATGATTTTTTATCTGAAGCCATTGGTTATGTAATCCTAGCAACTGTTTGTTTTCAGTTCTTTTTCTTGTTTGGAAGTTGGCTTTAAACAGCTTATGATTAGACAGTTAAGAACATGGAGTCATGTGGGAATATTTGATTAGCATTTAGAAGCAGTTGGTCAATCTTAAGATTTCTAAAACTAAAATTAGCTGTTATTTTGACCATAAACCAGCTAATGTAACATGAAGCAGAATAACATGTGCAGAGTAAAATAACATTGGTGATCTTCTGGAGAAAACGAATTGTCAATTTTCCACATACCAAGAATTGTGGTCCATTGCTTAAACAAATTAAAATAAATAAATAAAGAGATCGAAAGAACTAATGAAGTGGAACTAATGAAGTGTAAAACATTTGTCCATAAAATGACACGACAATGTTTGATTCGTTTTAATTTTTGTTTCTTAAATTATTACAAGATTAAGATTAATTTGCAAAAACTTTAAAAATTTAAGATTGATCAGTTCTTAATAAATTATTAAGATTAAAATTGATCAGTTCCTAATATGTTTGTAATTTAAACTAAATAACTATGATTAGCTGAGTTACAAAAAAATGAAATTAGTCAAAACCTAAAACCCTCCATATATGACAAGAAAATTAAAAACCCTACACTCTAAAGTATAAACCTTTATTAGCTATTGACACACGTTAATTCAGTCCTAATACATCATTTAGTGAACGAATTTAATTACTTGTAACTTGTAATCATACAACAAATAGTACAATATATAATACATCCACTGAATCATTTGTCGATACAAAGTGGCAACTCGAAGATGATCAAATGGTCTAATGGCCTTGCTAGCTGACCCATAATGGGTACAGATGTTGAGGGCATCTCATCTCATACCTACGCCTTGTATGAATTATGCAAACAAAAGAAGCAAACTAATTACAGGTCACAACACTTTATATATGTTTTTTCGGCCTACATTGGGCTAATTAATTTCTTTCGGCCAATAATTACGATTTTTTTTAAATATAAACGATATATTTATAGAAAAGGTAAAAGACTTGGACTAAGCCACACACTATATCTGCCAAAATAATTTTGTTCAAACTCGCTATTGACAAGAATTGAACTAAAGACCTATTACTTACAAGTAAAGAAGAAAACACATCACTAAGGACATGTTTACTTACATGGTATGAGAATATGAGAGAATGAGGGACTAAAAGGAATGTGGATGTGAAAGATCGGGTATTGGATAAACAACTCCGCTATGCTCAAGAGATACTTTCATTATTCCTGTATTCCATACCCAAAATTGATGGAATTCACATAAATACATTTCATAAGTAAACATGCCGTAAACATTCTTTATTTAACCCATAATTGAGAATCATACGCATTCATTCTCATTATCATACATGATAAGTAAACCTGCCCTAAATTACATTGCTAAGTGACAAATAATTAAGATTATCAAGAGCTAAAAAACCCAACGTGCAGAAGAACACAAAGAAGAAGTAAATTAGAGGGAAAAAAAATTGGAGTAGTGGGATTATAATGTGATTGCAGGGTGGGAGGGTTTATTAATGCAGAGACAGGGAGGACACACTCGAAAGTGCATTTGTCACGCAGAGCTGTCATTCGGTAATACAAAGCCATACCCTCCCTCCTTCCCTCCCCCTCCTAATACATAGCCAGCAAATCAGAGTTTGCAGCTGTCGGATTCTCTCTCTCTCTCTCTCTCTCTCTCTCAATCAACCAACTTCTCCATTTCAAACTACCCATCAAATATTTGACAGCAATACAACCAACAACAACTAACATTTTAAACCAATCTAAAACCCTTTTAATTTTCCATGTGTATCCAATGATTTTCTTCCTGTAAAAATAGGAAATATGGAATAATTATTTGTAGATGGAGACACATATAGAGCTAGCAGAGGAAGCAAAGAGCAAAGAAGGTCAACAAAAATTTGAGGTGGAAGAAATTTAGAGTGCTCTTCTTATCAAGATTCTTCGACTATATGAGTTCATGCAGCTGCAAAAACAAATTAAGAAATCATCATATGAAGCTGTAGATGCCATGGCGCATCCACATTATCGATCGCAGTTCGGGGACACAACGTTTACAAAAGTGTTTGTCGGAGGGCTAGCTTGGGAGACACCAACTGATGAAATGCGCAGATATTTTGAGCAGTTTGGGGAGATTCTTGAAGCTGTTATTATTGCCGACAAAAATACTGGAAAATCTAAAGGCTACGGATTTGTAAGTCTAATGTTGATACGTATGTATTGTGTTCGAAGATCGCTGCGTGTTCTTTCTTTTTGTCTTGTTTCTGAATTTCGGTTTTAACGATTATATGACTAGGTGACATTTCGTGATCCTGAATCGGCAAGGAGGGCTTGCGCTAATCCAAACCCTGTCATCGACGGAAGAAGAGCAAATTGTAACATTGCTTCATTGGGACGACCACGACCTTCTCCCCCGAGAGGTACATTGCGCATTTTGACCCTGAATTTGAGCTCATGTGTTCGATTCTCGTCTCCTTGATTATTGCTCTGCGAAAACAGAGTGATCAATGACAAGTAATATTTTTTTGCTCGATAATTGATAAAATACTTAATTTGGAGGTACATTTTTATGTGGTTCATACAGGAAGAAACCAAGGCGCCACTCCATACCAGGGAAATGCACCCCAGGCTGCACAGTCCTACGGCGGAGTGCCCCCATTACCGCCACCACTACCGCCATCGGCTCCTATAATATATCCATCGTACAGGTAATTTGTGTTGCATTTTTTTTTTTTTTTGGGATTGTGGTTAAAAGAGAAATGGTCCATGCATTGAATTAAAAAAGTGAGTAGCTAGATAGACGTGGTTGTCTGTTTTATTATTTTTTTATTTTAATGTAAGATTAAATATTACCTGGCTACAGTTGGTATCAACCTGTAAATAGCCAATATATAAATCATACAAACTTAAAGGTGCATAACGACAACCCTTCAACCCTATAACCTACTTAATTTTGTTTCAATGCATGCATCATCAACGTGCATATAGTTTATGGTACATTATTGATATTGATCAAAATTATCCACAAGTGATATTGTGAAAGAAAAAATTGATTCCGAAACTTCGAGGGTAAGGAAAAATGACTTAATTGAATTACAAATTCAGAAATTATTATTGAAAATGTAATTGTATTATTTGTGCAATTCTTTTGTTGTTGAATCTTCTGCAAAGTATTCAAACAATTTATGTTTGACTTTTAGATGGAAAAAGAAGGATAAGAGAAAAGAGTTGTGCAATGTCGTAATCATGGTGGTCCTCAGTCGATTACTTTAGTGCACAAATTTAGATACAACCTCTTTGCTGTTATGTATTTTTTTTCTTATGAACTTATATTCTATAGCAAGTAAAATTTGCAAAGATTAATGGAGAGATATTTGGGGGTGATGACACGTATGATATTGCTTAATGCTTATAGATATAGGTATATATTTTGATTTGTTCAACGTTGTCAATCTTTGTCTTGATCAGTCAACTTTAGGGTTGGTGATGCTTCCTAAGTCTTTGTGTTTTCGAACTTTGTATAGTTTTTTTATTAAAAAGAAAAAACGATTTTACAAAGTTCATTAACTTATGCGGTTAAGTGTATGTGTTTTGTATCTAAAGTCTTGAGTTTGTATATCCTTTCCTAATATCTTTAGTATCAAAAGAAATTTTGCCAACTGCAAAATGGTTGACAATTTTTTTCCAATTTTAAGATATATAGAAGTACCACAAACCAAAAATCTGTTGATATAGATTCACTTCACTAGCAAAAATAAATTAGAGATTGTATGTAGGTTAGTTCTGATCCGCTTGAATTCAACTTATTATTTCTTGTTAGTAGATTGTGTCATTTTCGAATTATATGTAACAATCATATTTAAGAACACATGTGCATACAATTAGAAAGAAGGATTTGTGGTATATGAACAGGGCGATGGGCAAAAGCAAGTTAAGTTTAGAGTGTGAAACTTTCAATGTAGAAAAAAACAGGAGGGTTTCTGGTATATGGGCACCCTATTGGCAGTCTCATTCTAAGCAAGTTTCTGCTCATCCTAACCCATCAATCTCATTGAAAATTGTTGATTTGCAGCTACCCAACCTACACTCCTGCAGATTATGGGTACCACCAAGTGAGTCTCTCTCTCTCTCTCTCTCTTTCCATATCCAAAAATTTGATCACATTGTTGAATGGTTGCAATAATATTGCAGCAGGCTATGTACAACCCACAAGTGCATCAACAACCTCAGTACTACCCTCAAGTGTATGGATCATCACCATCTTCACCAATGGGCACTCCATATTACTATCATGGCTATTCTTTTCAATCTCCAAGTCCAAGGGGAACATTTTCTACACCCCAGGCGCATCGTATGCCCGGCCCTTCGTATCTCTACTATCCTACGCACAACATGGAACCCTCGTTCTCCAGCTCCTATCCTAATCCTCCACTCCTGCAACCACCCCCCACCTCAAGGCATAATCCTCCTAATTTTACCTCTCCTTTACCTGGTAATTAACTAGTTTCTCTCGTTTTATTTATTTTTTTAATTTTTTGATATTGCATGTGAAGTGAAGATATAATCTTAAATTATATAATTGAAAATAATTATTATAACCTTGGTGATAAAATAAGTGATAGATTGTCTTATAGTTAGGATATTTCTTTTCAATTCACTGCATTCCGAGTTTGAACTCTCTCCCTTTCCTTAGTATAGATTAGTATAAATTATCATTTGTACTATAAAAACGTTGTCGATAGCTACTTTCCTATTATTGAATTTAGCAGATGCAAAGTCTGAGTCAATAGCTATTGAAGCTCCCCGTTAGCTAATCCCAAAAACTACATACATATGCATAGGAAGTTTTGTATAGGTTCCCTAGGGATTTGATTAACATGGGAGAGGACCTAGTGGGGCAAAGAGGGGAAGGGCAACCCATGTGAGTGAGCTGGCTGCTGCATGGCTTGTGTGATGACCAGACGCAGAAGGGTCAAATATTGGAAAGTCACGACAGAGAAGCATAGCAGAGTGTACATGTAAACTAACAGTGACTGCATGTGGCTTCAGCCTCAGAATCATGGTTCATTATTCTCAAGATATGTACTCAAGTGGTCGTTTAGAGATGCCCAGGCATGTTAGATACTGCCAATTAATCATGACTCAAGGAAATTAAGACGTGGTGATAGGAGGGGAAGCTAGGTTAATTTTACAAAGAAAAAAAAAAAGGGAAGTGTTATTAGCACTCTAAAAATCTCATTCTACACTTCTCACAAGTGTTTTTCTTTCCAAATATAGAAAGTTTGGAGTGTAGAATGAGATTTTTGGAGTACCAATACCAATTACAAAATAAAATCATTACAAGTATATACAATTATATATATGTTAAAGGCGGTTTCTGAGTTTTTGGTAGCTCATGGGGAAGTTACTGTATAACTTTTTCGAAGCATTGTCTTCACCTGGAAAAAAAAAAAGATTTGATTTCTTTGTATGTGCCGTTTTTGGCTAAAGCATAATAGTTTCACTAAATTAAAATGATATACGTAAAAAATAGGTAAAAACTTTCAAGAACCAAAGTCAGGGTGAGAAAATATTTGAAGGAAGGAGAGAATGAAAGAAAGGAAAAAACCACTTGCATGATTAGTTAGGAAAAAGAGTCGGTCATTTAGTGTTTGTAAGTATACAAATAAACATTTCCCCACCTACTATTGTGCCAATATATTGTTTAGTTTTCGCCTACATAGCACGCAAAAGTTTGGGTCACTAAAAAAACATTAGACTTTAACAGTATATTCAAAATTTTGAGAGATTTTTTTGGTACTTGAAACTCCAAAAAATCATATATGCACTCTAAATTCATAAAACACTAAACAGTTTGTATATAAGACCAAACCCAACCTTGTGCTAAATGCTATTTTTTAGGTTTTATTCTCTCTCTCTCTCTCCACCCCCCTCCAAAAACCCAACCTAACCCAACCCATGCTAAAGAAGTGCAGTACGTCATATTTGGAGTTTAAATAACAACATTCTAAATGTTTTTCATTTATATATTAATAATTTAATCAAACATTTTCAGTATATTTTTTTTATACATAAATATTAATATCAAGGGGACGGAGGATGGTGGAATAAATTAGTATCGAACTCGTCATATGAAATTCGAACATAAGAACTCTCACTTATCAGTTAAGAAAAATACTACTAGATCGTAGTACTAAGTGACTTTTCTCTTCGATGTTCAAAATAATCCTATATATAAATTGCTGGCCATAGAGTTGTTAAGTGTCATAACCCCACTCTTTAAAACCCTACATATATAAGCACAAATTTTCTGTCGGACGCTGTCTCATTTTGTAAGACACCCATGACATGTCGTGGTGAAATTATGGACCATTCTAGCTAATATATATACTGACATACATTGTACAATTTTTCTAATTAACACCAACCCAATTTAGGGTTTAGTTTTAGGTTATAAAGTAAGCAATTGCCATGATCTTTTTACTTAGGCTTGATCAGGTTATGTTGTCAGACTGCTAATCGACTATTACTCGTGGGTTAGATAAATTGTGTTTGCATGTGTATATACTTCTTATATATTAATATGAGGGCTTGCACTTAATTAAAATATCTCCATACACTACTGCTGTTATATTTATGTGTCAAATGTGCTCATGGGAATGTATGTATTGTTATGTTGGTTTTAGATTCTCAGAATCCGCAATATGCCTCAACCGAAACAGAAGCTGGAGTTGTTACTTCAGAAAGCACTCCAGATGCCTAAAAAGACTCGTTGACAAATACATGATCTGATGAAAAGAATTCAGTTGTATAAACTTTATGATTAAAAGTTATTATGCTCTTCATGAATTGATCCTTACGTTTCTGACATTTCTGCTGTCACTCACTCATAAAATTCTTTTTGGGTCGAAATCTGTAACATTAGGTGACTATTGCTTTAAGATTTTGTGTGCTCTGCACAGATATTGCAAGAAAGAGATGATCAACTAATCATTCACATTTTTCTATCAACTACTATTTTGATTTACTTTGTTTATGTAAAGTGTATTATTTCTCTAATAAACATATATGAGGAAATTGTTATAGTATGAGGCAGCTCGGCGACTACTCACTACCACCAAAGTTCTTGTATAAAAAGTACGGGTATTGGGTCATTCTCTATTCTTCTTGTGTAAAAGGATAAGATAAAATTTTATCCGAAGAATACTAAATTTCACTGAAGAATGCCAATATCAACTCCCAAAAAGTAAACAACAATACGAAAAATGCATAAATAATAAGCAAACTACCAATATAGTGACAACAAGCAAACAAAGAAGGGAAACTTTACCTCCTACTACAAGATTATGAAGGAAAACTAGAAACTAGTTCGAACTCTCTGAAGTTCAGTTTCTCTCAAACTATTTCTGACTTAGGCATCAAAGGCCCTTTAGCAGACACCGTCATCACTTTTCGTGGATATTTGTCAATTAGCCAACCTAATAGTGATTGTTTTGCAAGTGTGATTTTTGTCAATCTATCCTTGGCGAAAATTGGCATCTACAAATTGATGTTTTCATCAGGATATCTGAGCGAAGGAAGTTTATCCAAAAACTTTTCTTCACCCTTCTTCGTTCATTGTTCTTCGAACCCTTCGAACCATGGTGAGCACATGGAGAACTACGAGCAAGAACAACAGCTAATCCTTACAAACTGTGATGTGTTGTGACATCTTCGCAACCATCGCTCAATTTGGTGCACCACCATCAACCGTGGCCCATGTTGTCCCTTACATTCGAGGATTGGATCCTCTTTTACCACGAGACGTGATTGCTGAGACATTGTCGTGGCCCCTAATCGACGTCACCATTGCTACTAAGACCGTTGCCACACCACCACCCTATGCCACGACATCGACAACAACAATTGATAGGATTTTTACCACCTGTAAGAATAGGGATGAAAACACTTAAAAAAACAAGTAAGAGAACAAGATAATTATAGTATAAACAGTTCAAGTAAGGGTGTTCTCTACATGGATTGATATGAATAATTTGTATTTAAAACAAGTTTTTGGACAAGATTTGAAATTGCAAATTAAAATAAAAAGACATAAAATAATTGAAATTGATTTTAATGAAAACTTCGCAACAAAGAGAACATAAAATAGTTTTGGAAAATCAAATGTAAAATGCATTAGGGTTTAGCCGTCGCCATTAACAATCCTATGTAGATCTACCAATTACTTGTGAATTACACATGCAAGTTTGAAGGTTTGTAATTTGGTACTTGGTGGAATATCTTGCAAATAAAACTTTGCACAATAGACTATTCAGATGAGCTAGTCAACTAGTTACAAGTTGGCCAGTGATACAAAGTGCAGTTGCAAGAATAAAATCTAATTGACCAGTATGTTCAACTAATTAGAGTCTGCCCATATTAGTTTCACAACAACAATTCCTAAACTTGAATACATTTGCATATCAGTTCATTATGCAATTAGCAATGACAAAGCAATTATGATTTAAAGTATCCTGAATTGACTAGTCAAGCTCACCAGTCAACTAAGTACAGATTCGTTAGTTAATCAGACGCAAATCTACGAATCAAACTTGGTTCACTATAAGTTATCTTAGTCAGAACAATTCAGTTCCTTCCTCATCATAATTTTGTAACTTTGTCCAGTAACTATGTATCTTATATGTATATATGCAAGTTTGATTTGTTGGCATTTCTACTTACCCTTTTCTTGCCAATAGCAAGTAAGTTACCCTTGAAAGCCTTTTTTTTATCTTTAATTAGTGAAGTGTAAAAGGGTTGGAGAGTTAAGCTCCGAGAGGTGGAAATTTTCTAGTAGAGTTAGCTTGATTTTTCTCCAAAGAATGAGGTGGAAGTTGGTAATTAATAGAAGCTAATAATTAGGGTGAAGAGGTGGAATCCATAACATGTGTATGTTAGTCTATTCGCATGTAGGTGGCAACACTTTGAGGTATTAGACGTGTTTACTCATCAATCTATAGGAATCTTAATCATTTTGGCAATATTCTCACTACAATGCAACTCTATCGAACTTACCTTGAGATAAATCTTTACGTGGCCTTTGATGCTTGCATCCATCTTGCATGATATTCATTAACTTAACACTTGTTGTTTTTCCATTGGAACACATATCATTCTTAATGATTAGGACAACACTTGTTGCCTTGTTATTGGAACACATTTCATGGTAATGATTAGCACAATACTTGGTTTCTTTCTATTGGCACACTTGGAAGCTTTCTCCTCAAATTAGATGGGAATGAAGATGTCATGCAATCTTTATAAAGGAAGGAGCAAGAACCAATGAATGACATGGAGAAAAGAGAGAGGAAGAAGAAGAAAAAAAAGGAAGAAAAAACCACTCCAAAAAGAAAGCCATTCTCCCTTTCATATTACCTCTTATCTTTCATTTACATATTGTTAAGGCATTAAGCTATCTTTCCTTGTATTTGTAAATCCTTCATATATAGTAAAATACAATGAAAGCAAATTCTAGTGGATGTAGTCGATTTGGCGAACCACTTAAATCTTGTGTTGTTTATGCACTTACATTTTGAGATCATTTCCATGAGAAGCACTTCCACCAAACCATCGAAAATCTCCATTTATAACCCTTGAGAATTATGTACAAAAAGTGTGAGACAAATCCCAGAAAAATACATGAGACCTTACCCAACAAATCTCTCCACCAAACTCACCGTCATTTTCATCTATCAAAAGAAAGATATCCAAAAAACTAGAAATTCGTCCTGCCTATTTAACAGACCAAAACACCAACATCCATACATTATATCATATTACTTTCTCATGAGAGTTGTTTGTCTATCTCTCTACCATGATATATCCAAATTTCAGGAAAATCCAACAGTGCGACCATCCAATATGTTTGAAACACCAATTCAGTCTCTATTCCAGCAGAAAATTGGATAGCCATGTTATGAGTACCAAAACCCCATTTTTTGTATCTCCGATCGAAACACTTCCTTCACAAAATTGTTCCTTATCATCTCCTCTATAACATATCCAAAAATCACGACAATCTAATCTATGTGCTAACTTGTACCACAGTTCAAACAGCTGATGTTCAGTTGAGCTAACCTTCTTTGCCAACCTCTTTGCATGGCCAACATCTCTAATTTCTTTCACTCACTTTCAAGGAAGTTTTTAAGCAATCCAACTCCTATTTCATATGTAGAATTTCAGCTATATTAAAGAAGAGGAAGGTGAAGTGGCGAAGGAAGAAAGAGAACAAGAGGGAGGAAATGAAATTGAAACAATAAAAAAAAACTAAGGAAATGGTAACGTATTTGTTTATCATTTATGTTGATTATTACTTTTTTGTTAATGTTATGATTATATTACTATGGTTACTAACAACTTGATTAGTGTTACAGATGTTCTAGAGCATGTGATTATTGATATCCTTGTTACATGGCATTTACATAAGCATTCTTATAAAGTAAGAAAAAGAGTTAAGTTGTGTTTGAGTTATGAGGATATTCAAGAGCTGAAGTTTGCCTTGAATATAAAATAATGAACCTTGTATACATTAGGCGTCGGGGTAAGGGCTTGAGTATACAACTGATTGGTTATAAAATAATGAAGTCTTGTATATGTCAGGCGTCAAGGGAAGGGTTTGAATATCCAATTGGAGGTTGGGGGAAGTGCCTGTATAATAAAGTGGAAATTGAGAATTTAATTACAAAAATTGGGTTTAAGGGATGAACGGGAGTTAAATCATATTCTAAGGTATTCGGAGCCAAGTGGTATAAGCATGGTATGAGACGTGCAGGCTTGGATGCCTTAGGTATGTGTTAGCGGGATTAGTAGGGAGTGAGTATATTCATCCATCTCGTGTGCATATATTTCATGCATTTGAAAGAATTGTTACAATTTAATTATTATTTTGTTGGTACTTTTTGTTGTGAATTAATTTGTGCATTATAGTTATTCCGCTGTGTATTCAGTAAATTATATGTGGTGAACTCAAGTTTTATCATGTAAGATTTTGTGATGTGAATTATTGTGTTGCAGTTATTAATCACTTTTATTTTAATTTTTCCACCATATCTTGGTTGTAGAATTTATTTCTATAGCTAAGATATGGCTCACACCCTAGCTTGTGAATAGTTTTTATTCGAGGGTCGGGGCGTGACATGATTAATCTGTTTCTTCAGTCAAACAATAGAAGGAAGAAAATGACATGAATCCGAAAATGGGGCCAGTTTAAAGATTTGAAACTTGAAGTACTTGACCACCAAATTAAAACAAAACCATGAAGACAATGCTATCCTAATATGCAATGATTGGGTGATTGGTGCATGAACATGGTTTTGTAGCTAGGGTTTTAATGAAAAACACAAGAGGTAACTCAAAGCTAAAAGCACTCTTTTCATAAAATGTAAACTTCCTAGCCAAAACAAATGAGCCTATAAGATGATTCAAGCAAGCATTTTCAAAGATAGATTTATAAATATTCAAAGAAGAATATTACCCCAGAAAATATGCTTGATGCTCCTAGGGATTTGAAGTGGAGAAGAAAAAGAAAGCTCTAAAATTTTCCAATCTCAGTCCTAAAAACCAAAAGAACCCTAGCTGCCCTTTTAAAGAGATGCATAGATATTTCAGATAAAGGGAACAGGAGACACGTGTCAAAAGCCAAAGCAATAGTTTCAGATGAAGGTGAGAAAACCACACTCAGGAAAAAACTGTTAGTCAACATATATGGGTTGTCTTAAAGTGTGTGCCCATCAAACTGGAAAGTAGCGATAAGTTTTGACGAGACAGAATCACTAGGTAGAATAAACTAGAAATAAAAGTATGAAATGCATATGCATGAACAAACCTTTAATGTGAGAAGTGAAACCATCGAGTGCATATTTCCAACAATGGCAGCCCTTAGTGCAAAGTATGTTCTAAGACTAATTTGAGAATGTGTGGTACATTATTACATTATTGACAAGGAAAGCCAAACCTAAAAGTCTAGACTTCACAAGGATATGTTTTCCTAATATATATTCTCTTCGTGATGTCCAAGCAAAAATGTATATCTAGCATACAATATTTTTGTGATGTTCAGATCAAATATAAATATGCAAAACTCATTAAGTTTTGTGAAAACCTTTTGAAAAACCATGCCAACCCTTATAAGCGTGACATTCACCTTAAGTGAAACTATAATTATCAATCCCAAGAAGACCTCCTCAATTTTAGGGTGATGCTTTAACAGAAATTGCATTAAATTACTTGTCTAAATATCCTAATGGTGATCAAGCATTAAGATATATAGATAGTTTGAACACGATGATTAATAATTCAAAGCAAACATGCAAAATTTCATAAATAAATTGATAAAAGACTACATATTTATGTTAAGGCTCGTAGTCTAGTCTTAACAAAAGGAAATTAGTTACATATAATCATGACTAAAAAGCAAAATATTATTAGAAGCATGGATAAAAAAAAAAACCTTGTAAAAGTACACTTGAATCATCAAAAGCTCTCTAAGCTGAGTTCATCATAGTAGTGCGCGGAGAACCCTAGTGGTTGGCTGGGAGCTTAGAAATAACCCCTTATTCATAATCCTACCTAAATAAGGTCTTCTAAAAACTAGGAAGCAATATAACAAAAGGATAACTTAAAAATCACAATCCTAACGTAACTAGGCAATTTGCTTAGTAAGACAATTCCCATGTTTATGGACCAATCCAGCTCCAAATTAGGCCCAAAGGTCTTGTTTTAAATCTTAGGCCATCCTTTTCAACTTTATAGAAAGGTCCAACTGCAAAGGACGTCATCTTCATGCCCAAAACTCACAATTAAGCATGGAACGTCAATCTGCCAGCATTGCGGGCTATGCCTTAAATTAATTCAGCACGTTCAAACACCTTGGAACTAAATGCTGAAACTTTGACACAACACTTGACAGACTTGTGAATCTACTCCAATTGGAATTACTAAAATGTTCTACTGTTTCATCACTTTTTGCATAGAGTAAAGTCACACATCCTATATTTGAATTATAAAACAAAGTATCAAAATCTTACCAAAATAATCACCAAAAAATATTAAGAATTGGATAAAATAATAATATGAAATCAACTTATCAACAACAACTGTTGCCGGTGCGAAAACCCCTGGTTAGCTATCAGCCACAAAACAGCTAACGCTAGTTTCGCCATACGCTACCAAATGACAACAGCCTTCTCAGTTGGTTCCCTCTGAATTACATCTTAGGCCAGAGCCCAATGATTCAGAAACCCTAGCACTTATAGGCCTTAACCCAGCCTTCCTCAGCCTAACCTATAATGCACTATATGTCTTCTAGCACCTACACCTGAACAGGCCACTATACGCCCCTCAATTTGAAGGTTGTAGATTTGACTTCAACGCTTAGCCAGTAGACCATGATGCTTAATCGACTCCTCACTCAGACCAAACTAATTTGCAACTTTGATTTTGGTTCGGCAAATCAAGGGGAAAACAAACGGGAGTCGCCATTTTGTAGATGAACAGAAAAAGAAATTGTAGATGATGCATATCCTATCAATTAGCAGAGAAGGCAGTAGGAGGTAGATCATCCAACGACCATCAAAGGAACTCAGATCCTGATGAGTGCAGTGATAGAGATTTTTACCACTTGCAAAAGTAGGGATAAAAATACTTTAAATACTTGCAAGACTACAAGATAATTGTAGTATAGATGACTCTAGTAAGGTCGTTCTCCTTAGGAATTGAATGAATAATTTATGTTGAATCAAATCTTAATTAATTATTTAAAACAAAATTTGATTAAATGTTGATTTTGTGATTTAAAATAATAAAAACGAATTTATGAGAAAATAATTAAATAAGTGACAAAATAAAATAAACTAAAAGAAAACGGTTTTTGAAAATTAAATTGTAAAAGCCTAGGATTTTGCTGTCACTTTAACAATCCTATGTAGTTTTTCCAATTACTTATGAATTGCACATGCATAAATAAGGTTAGGTTTTCCTAAAGTATGCCTACTTGGACCCCTAACATAGAGCGTATATCAAACATGCAATTCGTCTGTAGTATTCAGATCAAATCTAAACATGCATGACTCATTAAGCTTTGTGGAACCTTTTGAAAAACCATACAACCCTTAAAACGTGATATTCATCCTAAGTGAAATTGCACATATTAACCACAAGAAGTCTTCGTCAATTTCAAGGACCGACCTCTGACCAAAATTGCATCAATTTACTTTTCTAAAGATCCTAATGATAGCTAAGCATTAAGACAATTAGATAGTTTAAACTGGTGATTAATAATTCAAACCTACATGCAAAATATCATAAGCAAATTGAAAAGAAACTACACATTGTTGCTAAGGCTCGTGGCCTTACCCTAGCAAAAGAGAATTAGTTACTAACAATCATAAAACAAAATATTATTAAAAATAAGGATAGAAAACACCTTGAAAATAAACTTAAATCCAAAAGCTCTCTAAAGTAATGCGTCCTTTCTTCTCCTTTTTCTCCCCCAAAACCCTAATGTTTAAAAAACCTTATTTATACTACTAAAAAATAAAACCCTACTTAGAAAAGGTCTTAGAATAATACTAGGAAACCAAATAAATTAAAATAAATTAGGAAACATAATCCTAATTTGACCAGTAAATTCGCCCAAAATCTGCACAGCCTCAAAACAACCACGTTTCTGGATCTTCAGGGCTCCAAAACAGGCCCAAAAATGGCCAGAAGTAAAACTTGAGATGTCCTGAACATAATTGCAGAAGGCCTCAAACCCAAAAGACATCATTTTGGATGCCAAAAAGCCTAAAGAAGCCTAAAACGTCAGTTTGACAGCGTTGTACACTGCTTCTTTATTTCATCGCCATAAAAAAACCGCTCCATAAAAAAATCTGAAACTTTAATGGAAACAAGTTGAGAGACATATGAACATCCTCTAATTGGAATCACTCCAAAATTCATCCGTTTCATTATGTTTTGCTCCAGAGGAAGTCAAATGTCCTACAATAAGAATATAAATCAAAGTATCAAAATTCTCACAAAATAACCACTAAATTGATCCTAAGAATAAGATAAAATATATAATACAATATTGACTCATTGTGCAGCTTCAACAATAATTTATTGCAGGCTAGGCCCACACACAAATGTTATGTTATGGAAAAGAAAAAAGGCCTAATATATGATTTTGGTAACTAGGTCTTTCGAACTCTTCGAGCTCTAGTCGAAATTGTTGGTCCATTTGTTGGTAGCGTTGATAAGCCATGATGGTAACTAGGTCTTTCGAACTCGAACAACATTTTTGAAGTCTTCGAGCTCTAGTAGAAACGAGGTAGTAATTATGCTCAAAATTATGAAATCAATAATAAAACTAGAATAACTTGCCACAATATTTCTGTTGTATGTTCTAGTAGTACTGAGGTGGAAATTAATTAAACTGAAGATATTATGTCAAATATTAGGGAAAACAAAGGTAGCTAGGATAACAACTCAACTATATAAGCTAGGTTAATTAAAACTTGCACGTAACGTAAATGATGAAATGTCTACATGCTCCTAAATAACTAGAAATTAATGATTTACCCTGCAACTCTCTCTCTCTCTCTCGTGTCTGGTGCGGGTTGACTGTTGGGTATGTAATTTGCACATACTGCATGATGATACAAATTGCCTTAGATTTTCAACCCTCTGTGGTGCAATTGTTGCTAAACTCAGATGACATGGGCCACAGAATTTAAGGTTATTTCCTTCCTTTCCCCAATGATATACAGAGTCTATTCAGCACATAGTTATGACCCCCTCAACAATGGTTCCTTTCATTCAACTGCAATATTCTCCAGCCACCCCTCTACCCTCCTCTCTCTCTCTCTCTCTCTCTCTCTCTCTTTCTCTCTCTCTCAGGTTTACAATGCATTCATTCCATGCTATGATCTCATTATAAAAACCTTGATCTTTAGTCAATTACATTGCAGCGTTCGTTCTATTACACTTTTAATAATCACTCTTATAATAAAATGGAGTCCTTTGAAATTTCTTCGAGCTCCTCCCCCTTATTTTATTCAAATCATAATTTAGAGACCCTCAATCTTTTTCCTAGTGAGATCCCAAATGCTAATCTTGAGCCTCTACCACCGATAAGCTGCCTACTTCGTTCACCTGATCAAGTGCCTAATTCCCATGTCAATAACCCTAAAGCAATATGCCATGAAGATCAGAAAGAGGATGGAGAAACTGTGGCCTTGCACATTGGTCTTCCAGATTATTCGGATGGCTCTATGAGTTATTTGACTGATCGGAAAGATGGCGAAGATAACGTGATAGCACAATATTGGATTCCAACTCCAGAACAAATACTCATTGGCTTCTCACATTTTTCTTGCCATGTCTGCTTCAAAACATTTAACCGTTACAATAATCTGCAGGTATATAACTGTTGTTTTGTTTCAATATATAATTGATCTCGTCCAAAGTTTTGGTACAATCTGACTAGAAATCATCTTTGGTACAAACTCTCTTATATGCATCTGTTCATGCGGACGCATGGTTTTTTGCATGCCAGTCAAAACCTAATTATCTCCTTTCCATACGCAGAGATTTAGTAAATCTGCTACCAAAAGTTGTTTATTTGTCTAAAAAATGGTTACATTTTCTACCACAATGGCAATCGTTTTTGAACAAATTGAAGTCCCTCCCCTACTTCTCAAATAGGTTTTGGAATCGAGCTTAATTATTTGTACTGGCCAAATTCTCTGATTTCAAAGCCAAAACCCCATTCAGCCATATTCCTTGATTTCGGAACCTAAACTCCTTTTAGCCAAATAAATAAGCTTGAGTTTCCCAACCAAAACTTCGAGTCATGTTGAAGGGACTTCAATTTTGTTCACAAAATTCGCATACGAGCACATATGTAAATATTCTTATGTCGCTACAAATATTTGATTTCCAATGTCAAGCAATTTGTGAATATTCCTATGGTAGATGCACATGTGGGGGCATGGATCACAATATCGTAGAGGGCCAGAGTCACTAAAGGGAACACAACCGCGAACCATGTTTGGCATCCCATGCTTTTGTTGTGCTGAAGGATGCAAGAACAACATCGACCACCCAAGAGCAAAACCCCTAAAAGATTTCCGGACCCTTCAAACGCACTACAAGAGGAAGCATGGAATGAAGCCCTTTATGTGTCGCAAGTGCGGCAAGTTGTTGGCGGTGAAAGGTGACTGGAGAACACATGAGAAGAATTGTGGCAAGCGCTGGCTTTGTGTTTGCGGTTCGGATTTCAAGCATAAGAGATCACTCAAAGACCATATTAAGGCATTTGGCTCTGGTCACAGTCATTTTCCACCTAATTCTTTTGATGAACTCAGGGACCTTGATGAGGACATTAGTCCTACCACTTCCTTGTTTAAAGGAATGTCAAGTGATGCAGCCTCTTGATGATCAGCTATATGTGTGTGTGTGTGTGAGTGTGTGTGTGTGGGGCTAATAATCGATGTTTGAGGCACGAAATTAAGTTTATGTACGCTCCTTTTAAACTTGATAGCAATGATTTGGGCCGAAAATGTTTATGAGTCTGATATCAATATATTATTTTCACCTTTTAGTGCAACCCAAAGATTAGTTTAAATACAAATTATACTCACAGAATATTGCCACCGCTATTGGGATTTTGACTTCAAATTAATTAACTCTTCACCTAATTTAATTACTTTTCAAACCATTTTTTACCAAGACAAACTACTACATACATTAAACACGTAAGTACTGTAAGCACAAAAAGGGTTTTTGAATTTGATGTTTCTAACAAACTAGAAGTGAAAATTGAAAAGGAAGCAAAAGTAATATGCAAGAAAACTTATTAATTATGAAGAAGATAAGTTGATGATTAACCTAAGTGAAAGATTACGAACTAAAAAGTAAAATAATGAGAAGACACTCTGAAAAATTCCAGCAATATAAAGAGTGCCCTTTATTTAAAAGGTAGATTGATACATTGTGATGAAACTGGTGATCAAGCACTCTTTGTTTGTTTTAAAAAAAATGACGAGCATTACTTTTACTCAATCCTCATTTCATGGAGCAATTAGGACCTGGTTAATGAGGTTGTCCAAATCCAGAACAGATGACCCCTTTGGACTAGTGGCCTTCTCTATCTTCTTCTTCCATCCCAACGCGTTCTTCCTCATCTCTTTGCCCTCTTCTCCCTCCATTAATCTTCTCACCAGACCTTCAATGTAATCTCTTTTCACCTCATCCTCTATCTCAATGCCGATGCCCCAGTGTTTTGCATGTGTACCTACAGTTGGTCTGCTTCTCAGCAAAGAAAGGCCAGCAGATCATCGGCACTCCGCCACACAAACTCTCAAGGGTAGAGTTCCACCCGCTGTGCGTCAAAAACCCTCCGATGGCCGAGTGGGTCAGAACTTGTTCCTGAGGGCACCAACTTGCCAACTTGCCTCTTCCCTTGGTCTCTTCCAAAAACTCCGGAGGAACCACAGCTGAGTCTCCAGCAACAAGGCCAGGCCTAATGATCCACAGAAATGTCTTGTTGCTATTTGCAACTCCCCAAGAGAACTCAACTAGCTGCTCATTTGTCATGACTGTGGTGCTTCCAAAATTCACATAAACCACCGAGTTAGGTTCTTTGGTGTCGAGCCAATCGAGACACTCTGTGTCTTCGGTCCATAGGCTTGACGCAATCACCTTCAACTCGTTGTCTGCCGGAATCTAACTGAGTAGTAGGTTTAGGGGTCCGACGAAGTAAGTTGGTGGAAACAAAGAAGAAATTGCATCCAAAGCTTCCTGCTCAAAAGACTCGAAAGTGTTCAAAACCACAGCTGAAGCTTTTTTGGTCCGTTCTGTCTCACCCACCATAAACTCCAACATGACATCATTTGGGTCTATGGTTCTAATGAAACTCAGAATGTCCTTCAAACGGATATCTTTCATGCCCGGCAACCAATCTACAACGGTGTCTAAATATCCGTTTGTGAAATGACTTTCATCTGCAAGATCAAATCAAGAAATAGTACTGGTGAGTTCAAATTCTAATTGAAAAACACTGTCAAGGTTTAATAACCATTTCAGTTTTTAGTTTGTAGTTTTCAACGAAAACATGAAACTTATGTGGTAACTGATTTCAATTTGAATAAAGTGATTATTGCAACATCAGATTGATTTAAGTAGTATACCTTTGAGAGGGGTGAGACCCTCTTCAATGAGACGGTGATATTGAGCGTAGGCCAAGAAGCCACAAGCACTTGTTGTCCAGAAAAGCACTTCAGGAATTCCCAATTCATGGGCAGCATCAAGAGTGAAGGTCGTAACACCATCAGCAATTATACAAGTCACATGTGGTGAATTGGGTGAAGAGTTGAGCTTTTTCAAAAGCTCCCTAAATGGCCCCAAGCCGGTTTTGTTAGTGGAAACGCAGAGTGATGGCACGTCCTGGGGATGAGTTGCCGGGAGGCCGTCAGGAATGGTCTCGAATCGGATGGTGGGAAGGCCGTCAAGGGAGTTGGCATCTAGGGAATTAATGAGGCGCTTGTGAATGACCTGTGTGTTGACAAATGTTATGTGGAAGCCTTTGTAGTGGAGGAGTTTAGCTAATTGCTGCATCGGGTTTATGTGACCTTGTGCTGGAAATGGTATGAAAACTCCATGTGGCTTAGTTAAACCCATTTTTTCTCTCCTATTCTGTTTCTCCAACTTTTTCTAATCAAATAAAAATCTAAGAAAATTGGGATGCTTTTGGCAATGAGACCTTTGTTCAGCCTGCGCTTTTATAGTGGAGAAAAGGTAGTCAAGTGCTAAGTGCTTTTCTACTGAACGTGGCGGGTCGGCACTTTCCGTACTCAATGCATAAGGATTTGTCTATTTGTCCCGATGTGAATTAGGGTTTTTATCACAAATGATCTATGATGAAATTGATCAAATTTATCATTTTGGTCTCTCATTTTCAAAATCAATCAATGTTGTGACATTCATTAGCACACATCAATTTGGTCATTCCAATAAGATTCCGTTAATTATTCTGTTAGTTTGTATGTGCAACCCACAAATCTAATGAAATGGTGACATGTGGATTGCACAAAATAGCAGTTTTTATCGCAAATGCTCCCTGACATTGATCCAACTCCTCATTTTCGTCCCTGAGTTTCAAAAATCGACAAATTTGGTCCCTGACTTTCAATACCACACATCAATTTAATCCTTCCGTTAAAGTGTTGTCAATATTTTTTTGTCCCACTAATCCAATCATAAGGAGTCACATGGATTAACTATAAGAAACTATTTTTTAAGGATTTAAAACTAAAAGTAAAATAAGAAACTAAAAACCAAAACTCAAAGAAAACAAAAGTCATCATTGTCTTCATCAGGGTAAGCTCAAAAAGAAAAAGAAGGCACCATGACACCATTAAAGTACTTGACTTCTTGAACTCACTCTTCATTCTCTCTAGTTAGTTATTTTCTTCAAATTTAAATTAAATTTGGATTAAATTTTTTTCCAGTTGGAGTTGTGGGATGCGAGAAAAATGTCAGCGCGGAATACTCTTCAGTTGGTTCACTCTTAAAAAAATAGTTCTGTATAGTTAATTCACATGGAGCCATATGATTGCATTAGTGAGACCACATCAGCACACAAACGAAAAATATTGATGAGATTTTAACGGAATAACTAAGTTGATGTGCGATAGTGAAAGTTAAGGACCAAATTTATTGATTTTTGAAACACAGGGACCAAAATGAGGAGTTAGATTAATGTCAGGGACCATTTGCGATAAAACCTTTATTTTGTGCAATCCACATGTCATCATTTCATTGGATGTGTGGGTCCCATATACAAACTATTAGAATAGCTGATGAACTTTTAACAGAAGGACCAAATTGATGTGAGATAGTGAATGTCATGGATGACATTGATTGATTTTGAAAGTAAGGGACTAAAATGATGAGTTCGATCAATCTCAAGGACCATTTGTGATAAAAACCTGAACTATGAGAAATGTTGAAAAATCATGCAACACAAGATATGGGATAAATGATTTACGACCATCTCCAACCGACCGGGCCAAAGGGTTATAGGTCAAAATATAGCCCATTTTAACACGAAAATTGTCTCGAACCGAAGGCTAGGTCAAAAGGCTTGCCAGCCCCACTGGGCCATATTCCAACCACAAGGCCAACGGGTTGGCCAAAAGAAACCAGCCAGCTAGCCCAATTGTAGCAGCCAAATTCATGCAACGGTAACAATGACATCAACATGACACAAGCTAGCAAAGGCTAGTTGACATTAGGTTACCGTTGGAATTTGAATTTTTTTAGACAAAATTAAAAAAAAAAAAAAATCTAATTTTGTTTCCTATACCATTTCTACACCATTTTCACATCTTTTTCCACATTCCATAACCAATTACATCTCGACACGTGACTAACAAATTAATTCAATTAACCATATTAATTCAATTCCATAACCATTTCTACACCATTTTGATAGGAGCATATTTAGGCGATTTACTTAGCTTGTTTTCGTGCATTTATGTTGTTAGTTCATAGTTGTTTGAGTAGTTTAAGCCATTTTCGTGTGTTTGTAGGTTCCCATGGCTAAGGAAGCAAAAATGTGCATTTTGGAGCATTTGGGAGCAAAATTGGACTTGGAATGGATAGCTTATGTTTGGAGCAAAAGGAATGGACGAAATTGAAGACCTAATTGAGCGAGGATTCCTAATCACAAGAGGATTCCTAATCAAAAGAGGATTCCTAATCAAATGAGGAATCCTAGTCAAAGAAGGTTTCCTACTTGAAGTAGGAAAGTTAAGCCAAGGTTTCCTATTTTGGTTTAATTTTTCCTAGTCCTTAAGGACTCCACATTTCAGCAATATCAAAGGCTCCTACCTATTCTAGGTCACAAAACAATGTCCCTTGCAACATTAAAACCCTTGCCGTGTCCCCCCTTTGTTTTTCCCTTCCTTGCCGTGCAAGGAAGGGCCTTGTTTCCTGTTTTAAATCATTTAAACACATTCCTTTTTCATACCAAGCTCAGCCATAACTCATATACCCTTTTCTATTCCAAAATTCTTGCCTAATTTCAGAAATAAAGAGCATTCCTTTTCTTATAAACCTTTGCCGCAAGTCACTTCTTTTTCCCTTCAATTTCTGATTTTGTGTTTCCTATTCTTGAAAGATTTAGAGTTAATTCCTTTCCTAAACTAAGTAATAAAACCTTAGGATTCTTTCTTCCTTATAAAACCCCAATGCCGCACCCTCATTGAACTTAATCCCCCTTCCACACAACCTGCCTTCATTCACAAACACATCCATCCCTTGCCGCAGCTTTCCATCCAAATTTCCACCATTCCCCTACTCCCAAACCTTCATCCCAACCTCCATACACCACCATCAACCCTTGCCGCACCACCATACCTTCCTAAACCCATCTAAAACCCAGAAAATCATCCACAAACCATCCTAGACCTTGTGTCGTGACTTAGCAAGGAAGAAGAGAAAGAAGACGAAGTCTTGGACGTTTATGCATTCAACTTGGAGTGTTGGAACGTTTTTAGGTGTAATCTATCTTTTGTTTTCAATG